TAATATATTATTATTTCTGTCGGAGAAAATAATGTGGTCAAATATATGTGTTCAGTAATCCATTGTATCAAAATCCTTTTATTTGAAGTAAAAGTCTACTTTCTTTTTATATTGTACTTATCCAAGACGTTTTGTATTATTATAAACCGATTTTACCTTTTTAACCATATTTTACAGAAGGTACCTGCACAATGCAAGACGGTCAGAAATGAACAAGTGTTTCAGGTTACATGGGACACTTTTAAGATTGGGAAATAAAGTTTAGGGTTTATTTATATAATTATGTACAATTTATAAATTTAGTGCTTTGATGGATTAGATTGACAATTTTCCGGTTCAAAGTCTCAATTGAACATAGATAGTTTTGATCTCTGACATGAATTCAACATATCCATGTAAATTATGTCAGTTTTGGCATCATATCCGTTGAACCGATTGTAATAAAAAAAAAATTTCTAGTATAGCACCAAAAGAATCTTTCAACACACAATAGAAAGAAGCCGCAAAAGAGGTGCTACCAGAAATTTTTAGAAAATTTTAGTAGTTCTTTAGATTTGAACATCGGGAATCATCGAAAAAGTCTATAGAATTATAACCGAAGAAGCATGTGAAGTATCATAGGTAAAAGTAAACAATATTTGCTACAGACTCACTTTCGCATTACATACTAATGTTTTAAATAGTAATCCAATATTTGGGATCATCCAACATATTATTAATAAAAAGAAGGAATTGTTATTTTCAAATTAATTAGAAATTATTTAACTGTCGGTTTAAATGATCATTTAAAAAGATACATAGTCGTATTACCTGATAAAAATACAACTGAACAAATTTTAATTTTCAATATCAATAATTGTCTTCACCCAATAAAAGTCCATATTACAGCTGAAGGTAACCATATTATATCTAAAGGTGATTCGAATTTGTAATTGTATTTCTGTTCCAATAAAAAAATTAAAAAGTATAAATTTTTTATTCTATAGTAGCTATAATAACCTAAGAATATGTACAATTAATTTTTAATATTTTAAAATATGTATTATTTGCGTCACCTCTCATTTATTTACCACGAATAAACCATATCTTGACAACAAATAAATCACTTATTTGATGCAATTAAATAGCTCAAATATATAGTGCATTTATCACAAATAAATATTTATTTGGTCATATCCAAGTATACGATATTTTTGGCTCAAATAAATTTTATTCGGTTCAATAATTCTTTTTTTTCTGTGTACCCCGTAAAATAGCAAGTTTTGGCAGCGTAACCATTGAACCGATTGTTATTATGATAAATTTCTAGTAGCACCAGAGAAATCTTTCAAACACAACGAAAAGAAGCCGCAAAGTAGGTGTTGCCGGAAATTTTTAGAAAATTTCAGTAGTTCTGTAGATTTGAACGTCAGAAGTCATCGAAAAAGTCTCTTGATAGCAATTCCTTCAATTGAAAAGAAGATTCACCGATAAGATCTCAATATCGCAATATCGTACGCTCCGAAGTATGAAAACGAAAAAAAAAAAAATAAGCATTTTAAGGAAAATATCCATGATAGCATAACACTGACAAAATCTCATATTATTTAAGATATCAAAATATGAGAACAGATTACATAAAAATCTCACAAAATTTACATGGAATCGATGTGACAATAATTTAAGATCATCAACCATAATACATATGCGATCATCGCACCATTCTTCGCAGTTTAACAAAAAAGTCATCTTAAGTATCCACATTAGTTACATTTTGGGACTTCTAAAAATAGTCACGAGTGCATGGTCATAAAATGTTCTCGGAAAAATATAAGCTAATAGAAAACCTTATATTTTATTAATTAGCATAATTATTACGCCATAAAAGAAAAACATAAAAATAAAGTTTGTCATTTTTTTCGTCCCTGTATTGAGTATAATTATTTAGATTATACACCGACTTCTATCGTATTAGATTAAATTAATGTTATTACATTAATTTAAATTCATTTTTATAAATATATAAACAAACTTTTGAACGTTTCAAAAATTTTCATTTTCAACGAAAAATTTTATCTGAGCTCGACATTCACAAGAAATTCACGAATAAAATAAATTTTATCCAGAATTTAAACATTTTATCAATTTATGTGAAAATGAAAAATTTTCGTGCTATAAATTGCCATCTATCATTCGCAAAACAAATCATTTCACTTGTTAACGAGATCTGAAAAGCAGCGCTGTGAAATTAATTAATTATAATCATAAAGTAGCTTATAAATTATTAGTACACTTTCAAATTTTTTGGAAATTGTTCTTCAATATTATAAATCGAAATTATTTGAAAGTTCATAGTAATTCAATAAACTAGATCTTTTCACAAAAGAATAAATCCAATAAATAATAATCAAAAAATTCATACAATGTTTTAGTATATTCATTTCCTGTGACAAAAAAGTATATCTAATTCACATCCGGACATTTATTTTCCCATTCACTTTTCAACTTTACCATAAAAAAACGTTTTTTATCATTTGACCGCGAATCGAGGCGTTCACAAAAAATACGTTTCTCCCCCAGTCAATTTCAATAATATCTCATGCGCACTTACTCTCAATTTTCACGAAGTTTTTTTTGTAAGCTGACCATTACATTATGTATTATATACATTAGGGCATTCGATATATATATACATATACGCTCATACCAAAAACGTAAAATAAACAAAAAACAACGCAGCTTGCCAGTTTTGTAGCAGATGAGTTAATACGTACACGAAAAATGTTAAAATTAAGGGGAGGAGATTAAAGATGATTCAAAAAAGTAAACTTACATAAATAACAAAAATCAAAGAGAGAAAATATGTATGATAAACTCCAACTGATGGCAAATGAAATTATATATTATATACATGCACGTGAGAATTAAACTGCCATTTGATTGTAACATTTGTTTTCTAGAGATCTTTTTTTAAAAATTGAAACTAAAAGAAATAATTTTTTTTTTCGTGGAATGGTAGCTTATTAAGTCTACTATCATTATCAACACATAAATTAGTCAATAAACAACATGAATTTTTAAAAATTATGAATTTATCCAAACGCGTTGAATGGTTCAATTGACCCTCGCTCGGGGGCATTGCTTGGGTTCAATTGAACCAATAATATTTAAAACTCAAACCCGAACTTTTAATAAATTATATATTAATTGTTACTTTCTAATATTACTGTTACACATTTTTAATGCAGAGATATTTTATTAAATAAATTAAAAATCAATTTAAAAATAATTTTCATTATTAATTCAGTTCATCAAATTGTTAGGTTATATATGTATTTCCCTGAGTATTTTTCACGTAGAGTCAAGATGTGCGCGCATGTCCCATGCTTCTGTATGGTTCAATCATCCCCGGAACTGCTGGTTCAATTGACCCCATATAATTTTAAAACAATTAATTGTAAATAATAAATAAATAAACTATTATATCACTATAAACAAAGTTAAGGATTATAAAGTATAAGTATATACTACTACTACAATTCAATCTTTATCAATTAATTCAAAAATTGAAATATTATTAAACAATTTGTCACCAGCCGAAAAAAAAGTTTACATGCCTAAAAATAAAAAAATCTCAATTTTTCAAAATTTATTAATCGCAATGATTTCAAATTTTGATCATATCCGAGTTTAACATATTAGAATTTAATTCTAAGAGCATGAAGCGTTTTTTCAATTTTTTCGATTTTTTAAGTCGAGTGGTTCAATTGCCCCATGGTTCAATTGACCCCCTTCTCCCCTACTGAGTGATATACTCATTACTCATTGTAATCTCCCAATTCCCTCAGTAAAATCTCAGATTATACCGCGTAAGATTTCACTGGATATAATCCGAGATTGTATCCTGTAAAATTTGGATTATATTCAGTAGAATCTTGGATTGTAGCAAGTGATTTCTCCACGATTTTTTTCTAGCGCCTGCGCACTTAGCATTATCATATGACGGTGAACAGGTTAGATCTTATTGTCACAAGTCTAAACATAAAAATATACGTTTTGTACACTATTTTTACATATCTTGTAATATTAATAACTATAACGGCTACAAAACATATTGTTACATAGCATAAAATATAAATGTTTACACACTAATTAATGCACCGATTATATTTTTTTAATGTTCAATATACTGATGATTGACTATAATTCATAAATTGTAAACAGCACTTCACGCGCAGGCGCTAGAAAGAAAATAGCGCAGGTATTACTGGGTATAATCCAAGATTCTACTGAATATAATCCAAATTCTACAGGATACAATCTCGAATTTTATATAGTGTAATCTTACGTGGTATAATCTGAGATTTTACTGGGGGAAATTATCTACAAAGTACCTACAAAAAAATCAATTTTTAATTCTGTAGAGTGCTCGAGGTTCGTGTATGAATGCCTAATGACCATTATTGCTGATTGGCGCGCCCGCACTTCAATAATCCTGAAGCCTGGGAAAACATGTATTTATACTCAGTTTGTTGTGTAGTATGGATATCCCTTCTCATGTGAAGAGTCATGCAAGATCTGGGATTCTTCAGCCAACAAAAATGACCTACATATGACGTGGCTCAATCGCACTTCTATTGCCATTTGCATTCGAGTATTCCTGTCAGTTGACATTGTCTCCTAAAGGAGAGCTAATGTGCGAACTCTAATTAAATACTTAGTTTATTTGAAAAGTAATTTTTGAATAAACACAAATCGTATCACTACTGGGCTTTCAGATTCATCAGTTATAATAGCAAAAATATACATACTGAAAAGTAATTTATTATTGAAAAAAAAAAATTTTTTTTTTTTTTAAGAAAAGTGTTCTAACTGTGAGGATATTGATTGTTTGGTTGCTTAGATAATTATTTACAGTGCTATTCTTTGAGTTTTTTTTTATTTTTTAAAATTGCACTGATGGACTACACTATCACATTATAAAGTTAATTCATTTAGTCTATAATTTTATTAAAATCGAAAGAAATATGGGGATAAGGAAAATCATCTGGTGGCTCATACTTGTATACTCGTATGATAAAATTTCGGCTTTTGATGACATTTTGTACAGACGCTCTCCGACACTTCATACTCAAATGGTAATTAAGATTTTAATTTATAAATCGAACAAATGGCTAAAATACATATTTCAGAAGTAATTGATTTAATTGAATATCTCTTTAATAAATGATGTTTTTATATTTGACAGGGACAACTCTTCAAATTATGTTATTCTCACCGACTGAACCCAGTTGTAATTACCACTAATCTGATTGATATAATCGACGAACTCCAAGTGGAGGATGTAAACTTCCTAGTTATGACTATCGACCGTGATTTCAAGGCCAAAGACATACGAATATTCATACCTGATTACCCGCTGTACATCGTATCAACAGATTCAACCGATCAACTGCAACGACTCCTCAATGAACTGAAATCGACATCGACCTGGAACCTTGTATCGATATTCTTCTTCATCGAAGCTGAAGGAAACAATTGTCAAAATGCATCGCAAGTGTTGCAATTGCTTTGGAAATTCGAGCTGTTGTCTTCTTTCTACTTTTGTATTGAGCCTCACAACGATATTATGCTTTACACTTACAATCCGTACACCAATAGAGCTCCTGATTCATGGACTGAAGTCGACGCAGATGACAAACCAGACAGTCGGTGGACTTTATATAAGCAACTGTACACTCCAAATGGTAAGAAGATTCAAATTAATGTTATTCTAATCTTAGCCCAATTCAAATTATCTATTTCATTTGCCTTTTTGGTTTTGTGGAGCTTATTATTTGTACTAGTGAATTATTTCTAGATAAAAAAGTATGTCAAAGTCTCAGCTACGATAAAACAAAAGCACTGGATGGTTATGAATTTAAAGCTACGGTAGATCCAGTGTCGTGGACGAATTTAACCCGGAATGAAACATACGATGTTTCTAGTTTGGACCAATCATTAGTAACTATGGAAAAAATGTTTATGATAAATTTATTTTCAGCATTAAATGTTACACCAAGAATTAACTACGATGATCGGGGTTTATATAAAAATAACATAGTAATAGGGTATCTAAAAGCATTAGTGAATGCTACGCACGATATTGGTCTCGGATCACGATTGATGAATAATAATGCTTCTCAAGTTGTTGATTTGATTAATCTTCACTATCAGAATGGATTTCTGATATTGACGCATCACAAGCCATTTAAGAAACCTGTCGACGAAGTTACTGATTTCTGTGATATTCGTCCTGCCGCTGCACTCTTTTTAGGCGTACTAATAGTTACTTTCATAACGATTGCCTTGAATACTGATAATAACTATGCTCAAGCGGCTCTAGATATTTTACTTATGATATTGGACACCGAAATACTTACACCACTGCAACGATTGTCGATCAAGATTTGTTACGTAGTATCATTTTTAATCATCTTCTTTATGAATCCAGCAATTCAAGGCAAAATATCATCGTATTTGTCAACTCCAGACCACGGCAATGTGGAAAGTTTTAAAGACGTCTACGATCAAAAATACAACTTTTATTACGATCCTAACTTTGAATTTGACATTCGTGAGCTAAATTTATGGTCAAGTTCGTCCAATGATAAACTTTTACATCCTGTAGATTCTGCCTATGAGAGTTGCTCAAAATATGTCTTAAATGATTCTTCAGCTGCATGTTTATCGTACAGCGAGTTTCAAATTGCGGATGCTTTGAAGTACAAATTACATGTTACAACTACTTTTGATCTCAAATTTTATTTGACATTTTTCGTAAGAAAAAACTGGGCACTCAAAAATAGGATTGATCAGATAGCGTTGAGATTGACAGAAGCCGGTCTTTTAAATCATTGGGACAAAGAAACATTGCATTGGCCTTTAAAGAAAATTAAAGAATATGAATCCATTAGCAGCTCAACTGAATACGATCAATTTACACTGGAAAACATGCTCTTTGCCTACATATTCTTTTTGCTGATCACAACTCTTGCTCTTATTGTATTCGGTTTTGAAATGCTCCTAAAGAAAATTCGACCACGCAGAAGATTACGATTGCAGCAAAAAATTGTAATATTCAATCGTCGAGTCCACGTTATCAATGAGTGGGTTTAATTTTGGTCGCGCAATAATGACATTCATCTGAATTGTGTGGAATTTATTTTGTCCTACAATCTTTTCCGTTTTTTGCAGTTTACGCTTTAAACAATCATTCATGCTTGATATTGACATTTTTTACGCTAAATTTTAATCCTACGGAATCATAAGGTGATAAAAATAGTATAACGAAACTAATTTTTCGTTGAGATTAAAATCAATAAAAACATGACCAATAGAAAACTATTTTTGGCTTCGAAGGTATGAAATTCGAAATATTAAAAAAGTTTTTTCATCTTTTAAGAATTTTTGATAATATGATTGTTGAAATATGTTTTTATACTTGAATATATTGACTACAGCAAACTAAATGTGTGTAAATGCATAAAAGATCGATATAATAGCAAAAATAATTGTGAAGAAGGGGGTAGACCCTTTCTCAGTTTTTTTGAGATTTCTCAAAATCTATCGGTCAGAATCGGTCTTAACTGTATTCAAAATCTAAGTTTGGTCAAGCTCTTTCAAATGGCACTAACCGCGATGAAATCGGTCAAGCGGTTTAAAAGTTATGAGAGGTTTACATACATCCATTCACACATACACACATATATACAATCATACAGACATACAGACATACAGACACCATCGCGGAAATAGCCAGGGAAGCTTCCTAATAGAACCTCAAGACGTCGAGATCTGATGAAAACTTGATTTTCGAAAAACGGGGTAAAACCTATAACTTCACGATTTGTGAAAAATTTTAATTTTCTTAGCGAGAAGTTAAAAAATATAATAATACATTGAATAAAAGATGTTAAAATTTCAGTAATAAAATTATCACATCTTTATTTCGATGATATTATGTTTGACAAAACTTTTCAGCAGTAAAAATATTTGTAGCTATGCGCTCTCTATCGGAATTTGCAGGTCTAGCAATACACAGAAGAAAAATTAGAAAAACGGTTGACCCTAAAGGCCATCCCTGCAACTTCCCGCTAATTTCATACTTAAGCGCTCAAAATTGCACTTACTACGTTTTTGAGCTCTTCGAGCTCAAAAATATAATCTTCATGTCATTTTGAACTCTCCGAGCTCAAAAATCTGGTGAAAGTTTAATAAAACACTATTTCTTAAATTTTCAAACCGCAATAACTTTTGAATGAATAAACCGATTTTCACGCGGTTGGTGGCATTCGATGCAGTTTTTTAGGCCTCATAAAGAATTTTCAAGTTTTAATCGATCAAAGTAGGAATTTCAATATAATTCCAAAAAAAAACATTTTTTTCGGTTTTTTTTTCGACAACGATAACTCACAAACGAATCAACCGTTTTTGACCGGGGTGGCGGCGATCGACGTAGTTTTTTGATGTTAAGAGCTGATTAGTTTTTGGAATTGATCGGTAAAACCGTTTAAAAGTTATTGCAAAAAAAGCACATTAAAAAAAATTTTTTTTGTAGTTTTTTTTAGATTTCTTAAAATCTACCGGTTCGAATCGATCCAAATTGTATTCAAAATCTAAGTTCGGTCAAGCCCTTTTGAATGGCACCAACCGCGATGAAATCAATCAAGCCGTTCAAAATTTATGAGAGGTTTACATACGGCCACACACACTCATACATACAGACATACGGACATCATCGCGGAAACATTCGGGGAAGCTTCCTATGATCGCAAAACGTCAACATCCGTTGAAAACTCGATTTTCGAAAAACGGGGTGAAACCAATAACTTCCCATTTTTTGAAAATTTTCAATTTTCTTAGCGGGAAGTTAAAAAAATTAACTTGAATCAAGAGAAAAATTCTTAAGCCAAGAAAGTAATTTTGAAATGTTTCATTGTTTTAAATCAAAAAATTTCTTGAATCAAGTATAACTTACTTAAACCAAGAAAAATTTTTTAGTTTAAGAGTTTTTCTACTCAAATTGAGAAGATGAAGTTCTTCAAAATTATTTACTTGATTCAAGTAAATTTTTTTTTCTGTGTACTTATAATTTTTCAAGACAAATATTCATGTCTCTAATTGTTAAATTATGTGAATCCAAATTTTTATCTTACAAAAATTTCAAGGATAAGTTTCCAAAATTTATTCTTCTAATGTATATAAATTATATCTAAATCGAATAATTGAAAATTTATAAATCCAACGAAAAAAGTCGTTGATTTGACATGGAATGACCCATATGTTCTAACTCAAGTAAATAAGATTCGTCGCACACAGTGATGTATACTTATCGAGAAGGCATATGCGTAAAAAAACTGAAATGTCAATAAATCAGATGCGCCCTTTCCAAATTTACGATTTAGTTACATCGTAAAAAAAATGTTTTGATTAAACACATTGATCGATGTATACATGTACGAATAAAATGTGTTTGATGAGTATACGTACAGCCGGTTTTCCACATCATCCAGCAATCGTTGATCGCGCAATAGGTATTACCAACACTGAAATATAGGAAGTTACGTATCCTGCACGAACGGTCCATACATAGGTGTAAATAAATCTATATACATCTGAATGCAGTAGTACCGATGAAACTCAACAGTAAGTACGACAACAAAACAACTAAACCACAAATAAAATCCACAGCGACCAAGAAGACGATAGTTAATCGATAAATTTTTCCCGACCTTGCATAGCAATATAATTCGTATGTTTTATTTTTATTCTCATCATTTACCTTATCCTCATCATAGGATTTCCTGGATTAATTATTGATGCTCGTACTTTTTCAATGAAAATATCATTAATACCTAATTATTAATATGATATCCAAAAGGAAAAACTTAAGACAAGTAGTTGTAATTAAAAGCAGTCTTCACTCTAGATGATTAGTTGATTAGAGAGATTGTTTAGTTACCGTTATCTTAATGCCGTACTAATGTAACGAATATATTAATTGTGTATTAACGCATAAGAGTGTAAGATAACACGGCTCTGTTTTATTTATATTAAATTACACATGAAATTTATTATACTCGCTCAAATGGTATAATAAACATTCTCTTACAAAGATTGTCATCAGAGATTATAAGCAGATATACTTTTAACTCAATTAATTGAGAAGTAATATCAATAACAGTTGTACCGAATTACCACATTAGTCTCTCCAACAGGTTATGGGCCAAGCGCTCCAACTTTTAAAAAGTTTGAAAAATCCAAAAGTGCACGATTCATAATCCTCATTTAATTATGGAATAATAATAAAATGAAAAATGTAAAAAAATACAAAATTATAAAACCGGTGATATAGGATGATAATGCGCAGGCGACCCTAGTGAGATAAATGTACACAATATATATAGATTAGGGTGTGCCAAAATGTAACTTCCTTGATGGACCTCTTAAAATTGGAATTTTGAGTTCCGCTTTTAACAGGAGTTGTGTTCGGGCATTTCCTGACAAATTTTGGGCGTAAAAGAATTATTTGATTTTTATAGACTCCTGTTAAAAAATTCTATAAAAATCAAATAATTCTTTTACGCCCAAAATTTGTCAGGAAATGCTTAAACACAACTCCTGTTAAAAGCGGAACTCAAAATTCCAATTTTAAGAGGTCCATCAAGGAAGTTACATTTTGGCACACCCTAATAAAGATATACAGTCTTCTAATTTTTTATTTTATTAATCGCAATTAAACTACACTGCTACATAATCATTCGCGATAGGGAACCTAAAATTCCTTCAAGGAATAAAAAAAAAAATTTTATTCAATTAATGGATTTTTTTGCGAGTTATAATGTTTACGAATCAACATTCACGAATCTTCAATTACTGTTTATTTTATTTAAAGGCACAAGAATTATGTCACACGAGATTAAGTAGTGATGAATTAAACGTATGTACGTATATATTGAAGTTGTTTACAAGATTTAACTGTCGCTAACATTCTTTTTGCGGTTTTTACCCCACCCAGCGAACGTTTGTCGAATTAAAAGATAATTTGACTCATCTATAGAGTATTTTAGCGTAGTCGTGCAAAAGTGTAGAGACAGATAGAGAGAAAGAAATTACTTCTCGATACTAGTGCGGGGTAAATTAACTAAACTATAGATAGCCAGAAATTGTATTCTTTGCGCCCTCTGTATGTTGCTCGAAAATCCAACTTTCGATGACTTCCAACTTGATATGACAAAAAAAAATTTTTATAATTTTTTGGAATATGATAACGCAAGACATACTTCATTATGTTTTATTTTACAATAAAAATTGTTGTCGTTGAAGTTACAAGTAAAAGCCGATATTCATAAATAAAGTCGTAAAACTTTTTATAAGCCAATAAAATATCATTACACATATATACATGTAAATGTTATTTATGTGAACATTGTATTAACGAGCGTTAACATTTTTATTACTTATTATTGAGGGATTGTTTGACCTTACTGTCAATAAGTAATAACTCTTATTTATTTGCCGGCTCATATTTGCAACCTAGTACCAATACCGCGGACTTTTCAAAGTACCGATAGTACATAAATTAACCATACAAATTGTTGTACAGTTACATTTAATATTAAGTAATCAAACTTTCAATCGTCTATGTTCATAAGATTACTTAAATGTGTTATAGTTGCATTAAAGTTATAGTTTTTATTGAGACTTTTTTCTGTTTTTTATTTACTGGCGCGCGATTTTGTATTGAATCAACAAATTCATAAACGATTATTAACACTTTAATTTATCATTTTTTTTATAGTAATTGTTATTAATATTTACTGACGTGTAATTATTTTAATTGATTATCGGTAATTATAGATTGCGTAGAAAGAAATAATAAAACTCGTATACGACTTAATGAATATGAATCGTAATGAAGTTGATATCAGATTAATTATTTTCAAGAAAAACAGGAAAATTTATAGTTTAATGAATTAAAAATTTTCTTGGGGATTTTTAGTAACTGATGCAATATGGTGCAATAAGGTTATTGACGTTAACTTCGACAGAAGACTTATGCCCTAAGTTTCATGGAATCATTTGCTATTAGTAGATATATCAAGTTTAGAAATGTT